TTTAATTGGCATTCTTTCAGAAGTGATGACAACTTCCATAAATTTTTTCAATCTAAACCTCAGCAAAAAACCATCTTTTCAACCTAGTTGAAGGAGAATGTGACTGTAAAAGAAAATTTCAGTCATATTTGTATATGTAATGAATGCTATGATATCCACCATTCCATATCCCACATCTGGAAGCAATTGTCCATTACATTTGTTTAATCTTCATATCCACCATTCCATACATTTTTATGTAATACTCCGTAATTATTTTAGGAACCATCGTCTAAGTCAAAAAAGAAGCATGAGGATAAGAAAAAAGTACCCTTTGTCTTGAGAGATTCACCAAAAGTAACGGTTGAACTCAGCTCATATTCATTGGTTAGTGAAACTGTTCTTCATTCACTTAGCGATGATCTTTTAAGATTGCATGAAAATCTTGAGTGGTATGAGCCCGATCTTTGTAAGTTTTCTATTCCTCTTCCTGCGGAGTTGTTCTGTTATATTGATGATAAGCAATTTGGGACCGTTGTTGACCGTGAAGACTTAGCTTGAGTCAATTTCTTGAGAGTGATTCTGTTGATATGTCAATTATTCAGACCTTTATGTTGTAAGTATTATAATAAGTTTATAAGTACTCTTGAATATTTGTTAGACTTAATTACTGACTAATTACTATTAATATTATAATTTCAAATGTAGTTGTGTAAATGCAAAACTGATTGACCTTGGTCATGATGATGTGGGTCTTTTGTGTCCTTCGATTTGTTCTTTTGAGTATTATAAATTGGAGAGAAAGGGCACACTGACTTACATGAAGCATGCTCTGACTGAAATGTTTGAAAAGAATCTCATTCTCTTGACATATAATGAAGAGCATGTATGATTCATATATTACATTCGCTTTTACATATTATATTTATTGATCGTGACATATGAAATATTAACCCATTTTCTATTCTCTTGGGAAACATAGGCATCATTGGATTTTGTTTGTAATTTGTCCATAGGTTGATAAGGGCTATATTTTCAATTCATTGCCAAGTTATTCCAATATTGGTATTCAAAAGGATCTTACGATGTATGTATTTTTAATGATTTAGTTGTGATATTTAACATTTATACTTGTATGTCAACATTGAGCATATATATACATTCAGCTTATCATTATAGGATGTATAGAGTTACTTCTACACAAAAGGGTCGTGGCAAGCCGATCAAATGGCATAATATCAAAGTACTTTCATCATATATCTTCTCTTATTTACAAAAGTTATGCTTTAATTTAAAAAAATCATATTATAAAATACTACCTTCATCCCATAAAATTCTTCTCACTTTGACTTGGCACGGATATTAAGAAAGTGGAAATGTATGGTTGTGATTGTGTAAGAAAAAGGTGAAATGAATGTGAACCACACAAATTGTCCAAAATGGTAAGTGGAAAGAATTTTTTGGGACGACCCAAAAAGGAAAGTGCAAAGAATTTTATGGGACGGAGGGAGTAATATTGTGTATTGTCATCTAATATATAGTGTGCAAGACAAATGGATAATACAGAATGTAGATATTATGTCATGAAGTTTATGTGGGAAATAATAACTTCTGTTGGAAGTACAAATATTGCACATGTATTTTAATTATATATACTTCAATAGGTGGATTTCATTAAATCATTTAACTTATATATAATTTAGTTTCTCATTATTTATTTTATCTATATTTGTATGATTATTTTCAGGTTTGGAATGTAAGAACTGAGCCATATACAACGGAGGAGTTTGATGACATTAGAAAAGTATGGGTTATGTTTTTTGTAGATGAAGTGTTATGACTATGTAGAATTGTGAAAATCAAGCAAACTTGAATGTAATTTATTGTGATACGAATTTATACCTTTTGAGTTGAATTTGTGCGAAACGATTCTATCGTTATTCTGGTTTGAATTAATGAATGTGTTGTTTTGGTTGACAATTGATCTGTAAATAAAACAGGTGATATAGTAATTTTAAAAAATATATATACTACCTCCATCCCATAATTTACTTCCGAAATAAAGTGGCACGCGGATTAAGAAAGTGAGAATTGTGTGGTGGAGAGTTGTGCAGAGGAGAGAAAAATGTTGTGAATCACAAATTCTTTGCCAAAAAAGGAAAGTGAAGTTCTTTTTGGGACGAACGAAAAGGGAAAGTTGGAAGTATTTTCAGGGACGGAAGGAGTAACAAATAATACAATTGGAGGCGCTTTTTATGATACAAGCGCCTCTAAATGTGTTTAGGTAGTAGATTTTGGAGGCATTTTTGACATCAGAAACGCCTCTAAATCCGTCTACGTGGCAGATTTTAGAGGCGTTTTTTGGTGAGAAGTGCCTCTAAATAGCGATTTAAATTCACAAAAAAAAACATTAAAGGCGCTTCTAGGCTAAAAGCGCCTCCATTTAATTCATGGGTACGGCGCTTTTGCAGAACGAAGCGCCACAAAACTCCGAATTAAATTTAAAAAAAATATATTAGAGGCGCTTCTAGTCAAAAAAGCGCCTCCATTTAAGATTTGCGGCAAATTTGTTGGAGGCGCTTCGAAGCGCCGCACGTGGGCAATTTCAAGCGCCTCTGATCAGCGTTTTTGCACTAGTGATGCATGCTTCTGTAAAATAAGTCTCACTTATATACTAACATAGTATTGAAAGTTAAAAAAACAATGTAGATATTTAGTACTTTTAAGTATTTCTAATCATGCAGTGAATGTTTTCTTGTGTAATATATTTGACCACATAAGCTGAAATACAAATTAACACACACACACAAATATATATACATACATACATACATACATATATATATATATATATATATGTATGTAAAAAAGACAGCAGCAATACTACTGGAAAGGACGGTTTCTATATTTCCCATACGTAATCCCTTGTATAGCCGTTGAGGCGGACGGACACTAAGATGGAATAACCCCGCTAAAATGCCCAGTGTTCCAGCTGCAATATGATGAGAGGCTATTCCTCCTGGAACAAAAGTATCAAAGCCTTCCACACCCCAGGCAGGATTAACAGGTTCTACTTTTCCTGTTAGGCCATAAGGATCGGATACCCAAATTCCGGGACCATACAAACCCGTTACATGGAATGCACCAAAGCCAAAGCAAGTAACCCCGCAAGAAATAAATGAATTCCAAAGATCTTAGGTAAATCCAAAGAGGGTTTTCTAGTCCGTTCATCACAAAAGACTTCTAGATCCCAATACACCCAATGCCAGATAGCTGCCAAAAAACATAACCCAGAAAACAAAATATGTGCGCCAGCTACACCTTCGTAACTCCAAAGACCGGGAGTCGTTACAGTCCCTCCTGTAATATCCCAACCCCTCCAGGAATTAGTTATTCCTAACCGAGTCATAAAGGGTATTACAAACATACCCCCCCCCCCCCCCCCCCCTCCGCCTTCAATTTTTATATATATATGGAGCGATTCCAGTAAGAATGGACTCCGATGAGAGAAAGGAGAATGAATCTCGACCATTGGATTGTAGTATGTGGAAATGAATTGTGTATTTGGTGAAGCTGAAATATGCATTAGATGATATTGAAATGCGCAAAATAAAAATTTAAAATCAAGTGTGCATTATGTGAAACTGAAATGTGCGGAATAAAAGGTACAAAAATAACATTACATCGTACCTTTTATTCTGCATATTTCAGTTTCACTTAATGCACAATTCAACTTCACCTAATGCACAACTCAGCTTCACATAATGTCATTGTGTCGTACCCTTTGTGTTGCACATTTCAATTTCACCTAATGCACATTACAGTTTCATCTAATGCACATTGAATTTCACTTAAAACAAATCTAACGGCCCAGATTCATTCTCATTTCTCTCTTAATATCGTGTTCTTATTTGAATCAAAACCTATATATATATATATATATATATATATATATATATATATATATATATATATATATATATATATATATATATATATATATATATATATATATATATACACACACACACACACACATGTATATATAATCTACAATATTAAACAAAAGCCACTAGAGCTCAATTGTTATCATCCTCCACCACACCCATAAAAAAGAAGAAAAATATAGATTTGATTTCAATCTATATAGATGTTGATTAAAAGAGAAGATACTCAGGCTGCAGAAGCGGTTCCTTCGAGCATTGACTATATATCACTAAATCACAGGCCGCTCTGTATGATTCCTGGTTGCACAATATCTTGAAAAAATGATCCCGTGGTGCCACTGGGAAGACTAAGAGCTGCAGGTGGCTTAGGAATCTAGCTAGGTCCCTTTTCCCGACAACAAATGGAGATAAGTTACCAGTTCAGGCATGATTGAATTAGAAAAGATGAATAAAAGGAAATGAGATACACGACTACTCCCTCCGTTCCTAAATAAACTTCCAACTTTCCTTTTTCGTCCGTTCCAATTAAAACTTCCACTTTCCCTTTTTGGTAAAGAATTTGTGGTTCACAACATTTCTTATACATTTCTCTCTCCTCTGCACAACTCTCCACCACACAATATCCACTATCTTAAACTTTGTGCCAAACCCATTTGGAAGTTAAAATGGGAACGGAGGTAGTATAATATAGGTGTTGGATGCTTCCGTGAGCAGTAAGCAGCAGATCTCCCCTTATTTTGGGAAAGTTGGTGGCCGCGTGTGAATTATTTCAAGGCAAAGGCTAGAACACTTGTACAAACAAAATAGGAATTAGTTTAGGATAGAGAAGATGAGTATACCTCATGAATGCTAGAAAGGATCCGTCCAAGCTAAGCAATTGACAAATTAAATCATTGGGTTTTGTTGGAGCTGGACGAAGAAGTTGAAATTGACCACCATAGCTTTGGGACCTTTTCAAGCTTTCAGACCGTCTCTTTTGAATGGGGCGAAAGTATACAATAGGGTTTTTGTAATCCCAATTACATATTATGTAGTATAACTTATAAGATGTAATCTCAAACACATAATCTTTTTAATGTAAAGCTTATTGCATTACATTACCAAACATACATATATAAAAGTAATGAGTTCCACATACGCAATGGTCATTACACTATGATTTAAAAATAAAATGTCATACCAAACATCGTATTCGAATCAACACGTAATGCTTATTACATTACATGATTGATTACATCATACCAAACATAGCCTTAGTGTAAACTACAAGCTTACACCAATGTAAACATAACAGTTTAACACTATTGAGCAAACAGAGGTATGGTTCTTATCAAGAAGGCAATGTAAATGTGTTTACACAATAACAGAGCATCAAGTGAAAAAAACATCATTAATCTTAGCTCACCTACTAAAACTAAATCGCATAAAAAGAAGGTTCAAGGGATTGGCAACCTATGCAATCCAAACTGTTGCAATGAAAAATGCATGTTTAACGCCCCCTCTCAAAGTTAACCCTTGTTCTGCCAGATCCTCCTCGGTCATAGCCATCATCTCGTGTGGAGCCCCCACTGGCCTTCATGGTACCTCCACTGCCCACCCTGTCCATGGCTTTCTTGCCCTTCTTCACCTCAGTCAAGAACTGGTCCAACCCAAACGGATCAGCCTCCTCAGCCTCCTTCTTTTCAAACTCTAGTGGTCGGTCTCGCGGGCCAGTTCTCTCAGAAGTTCCAGTGAATCCCTTGTCAGGTTTAAACCGCTCAGTCTTCATAATCTTATCCATTTGTTCATCCTCGCCGCCATACATCTCAGCATCCGCATCTTTCTTTGGTTTGTAAAGTGTGGAGAGGGTAGGTTGGGCAGTGAAGAGACCTTTGTCATAAATATTATATGCATCATCAGTAGCAAATCCAGAGTCCATCCCCTTCTCCTGATTAAATAACCTCTGGTCATACATCACCTCTCCTCCTCTTGCCGTGGAGGCCATGCCAAGAGCCATCTTCTCACTGACATCACGATCTCTGTCCCTGGTGATCTTACTTTTCTTCCCCATTGCAGCATCTTTAGCCTCCAACCTTCGCTCCCTCTCCCTTTCCCGGCGTCTCTCTTCACGGATCTTTTCTCTCTTCATTCTCTCTTCCTTTTCTTCTCGGCTTTCTTTAGGCGGTGCGTGCTGATGCTCATAATCATCATCCCCACTAATTGCAGAAGGTGCACCAGCAGGTACAGGTGGAGGAGGTGGCGGTGCAACACCACCCCCACCACCAGTTCTTTCAGACCTTGCCTTCCGGGCCAACTCACGAAGTTCAATCTCCTTTCTTTCTTTCTCCTTCATCATCATCTCCCTCTGCACCTTAGATCGCATGGCAACAGCTTCTCTGGCCTTTTGTTCAGCTACATACAAGGCCTCTGATAGCTTAGCAAAGTTGTCATTGATCTGGACCTCTTGAAGTCCCCTACCATCAGCTGCAAGACGCTTGTCGAGTGGAATTGTATAACCTTTCGGATTTTTCCAGTTGGAAATACAAGGAGGTATCTTCCAGTCTTGTTGGTCCTTCACAGTGACAGGACGTGGCGGAGAATGCATGACAGGCACAGGAGGAGAACCAGAAGCCTTTGGAACCCTTTTGTGTTTGAACTTTGGTGGCTCTAATGGGTCAACAGGCATCTCCACCATCCTAATGATCCTCTCCTTTGCACCTGAGTTAAAAGCAGCTGACTGTTGGGATGGTTTGTATTTGATATACTTTGAGTCTGAAGATTGTGTGGGAACATTCTTGGGCTGTGCCGCACTCAGCCTCACATTAACTATTTTCTCAAGTGCAGCTTTTGTCTCCATGGCAGTGTCCTCAATTACCTTCTGCTTCTCATCACTCTCCATCTCTTTGTCATCGGTTTCATCTTTCAGTACTTTGGGAATGAGATCTGTATGCTGAGAATACACAATTTTCTTTGAGTTCTCATTTTGCTTCACAATTGCATCATACCTGACATCACCATGTTCATCGACCCTAAGAGGTAATGTCTTGCTTGCAGGGTTGCGGTCCTTTTTTCTCCCCATATCAAGAGGATACTGTGCATAATGGATTTCTGGGAAGGCACCTCCATCCCCAAAATCCTCAAGCTTAGATGGCCTAAACCCAGCCCTTTTCAAATAAGGGGGAACCGGTTTTGCCTTGACAACTGCAGTTATTTCTTCCTCAGGTGCACTGTACCTGTTCTTAAACCATGGGTCATTTGAGTGGTCATATTTCTCACTGCTATTTGATTTTACTGGTGGTAGAATGTCTCTCAGACCCATGTTGGAAGACGCCAATCAGAACCAAATTCTGCAAAATATACACAGAAAACATAAAAACCATAATATCAATTCTATGGATCAGTGTGAAGTAAGCACTCAAAAAAGAGTTGCAAATAAACCCTCCCATCTGAATCGCTGAAACAAGACCTTTAGTAAACTTGAAGATTAACGAGGCATGAAGTAGAAAAGGAATTCCGTCCCACACACAACATTAAATAAAAAAGGAATCGCGGATACTTGAATAAGGAATAACGAATTAAGACTTGGGCAAAGTACAACCTTTATCCAATCGCAGCTTATTTCACAAGATAAAACCCTAAGCTGAGGACACACACACAAGGCAAGGGGATACGCACGGCAGATTGACGTTTGGAGCGGAGGCTTTTCAGGCATGGGCGAGAAGTAGAGCAGGAGTAAGGGCGTCGGAGATGCGGATTTTGTTGATGATTGGCCTTGCGCAGGCTTTTTTTCTGTAGAAGGGTGAAGAAGAATGATTGAGCCGACAAGTAAGAGCTCCGGATGGATGCTCAGATCTGTTGGTTCTTCTGGAGCGGTAGCTCGTTTTCGAAGACTAGGTTCCTTTTTGTGCTTGCTTTATTCGTTACCGCCGGTGCCTGGTTATCCAACGTTTTCCAAAACCAAACCACACTATGTTTTTCAAACTTATTTTCAATGTCATCACATCCATCAGCTTATCTATATCCCACTAGAGTTTTTGCGTCCCTCAATTACTGTGTCAGTGACACTTTTGGTACTCGACTTTTAATTTTTCCATTTTTAGTATTCGACTATTATGTGAGAGACATTTTTGGTATCCGTCTTTGATAATTTTCGTATTTAGTCCTTCGATTTTTGTAGAAGTGACACTTTTGATCCTTCAACTATTGCTGTAGAGATATTTTTAGTTCTCCACTTATTGTGTCAAAATCATAATAGAAGGACTAAAAGTGTCAATTTGATAATACTCAAATGACTAAATGTGGGAAACTTGAAAGTAGAGGACTAAAAGTGTCTCACGAACAATAGTCGAGGACTAAAAATGAAAAAATTAATAGAAATTACTTTAAATAGGATTAAAGCTTGGACAAAATGCACAAATAGGACTACATGTATTTTATTACTGAAATAGGACTAATTTAATTCTATTAAAAGTATAAAACTTCCCCTATTAAGAGTGAATAGGTCCTAGTTTAGGAAGAAAACGATGATAGTCCGATATGTGCACTTTGTTCATGTTTTAGTCCTATATAAGGAATTTTCTCAAAAATTAAAAGTCGTGTACCAAAAGTGTCACTGACACAATACTCAAGGAACCAAAAGTGACAAAAACTCCATCCCACTATCTCCATATCTTTTAAAGAGGCTGAATATCGTGCATCTCTCTGTTCGAGTTGGGCATCTCTCAGGACAAGTCCTTTCAGCTATTATGCTATAAAGTTTATTCTTTTCTTATTTATGTGCTAATCCCATTCAACATGCTCATAGTAAACATATCAACATTGATTATCATTTTGTTCGTGAACGGGTGGCCCATGGGGATCTATTTGTCCGTCATGTTTCTACTCAGCTTCGGTTGGCAGATATTTTCACCAAGTGTTTATATCCTCAACGGTTTACTTTTCTTCGAGACAATCTGCGCATTGTTTCCCCTGCACAGATTGAGGTGGTGTAATAATGTATTTTTTAATATTAATTAGGTTGTCTAATTATTGTAGGATTCATGTGTATCTTGAACTCTTTTATTTTAAATATACCTCCAGGACTGTCTGGTAAGACTCTCTATTATTTTCATACACACAGATTTTGGTTCAAATTTGAACACACCTTAATAAAAGATGTGAGAACATATCATAACCCTTCATTTGGATGCATCTCACGTAAGTATTGATTAAAATGATAAGGACATTTCTGAATTATACTTTTGGGTAGTTTGTTTGGTAACTACCAAGAATTTACGAATTCACTTTTTTACAATACCTCTTAATTTACGAATTACAATTCCTCTTAATTACATTCTTACCCATCCATTGAGTTAATCTAAAGGATATAGACGCGGCAGAGTGGCATTTTGGTGGAGTACTTTTTCTCTCTTAATTATTACACATCTTTCGTAAATTGTAATTTACAAGTGGCCTCTTAATTTACAACATCTCTTTCCTAAATTATAGTCTAGGAGTGACCTCTTAATTTACAACACCTCTTTCCAAAATTAAATATGTGTATCTGCATTAAGATGTCTCTCTAAATTGAACAATTTTGTTTATGTCAAATAATCAGTCTCAATTAGATAATATAATCAATTTAATATTATTGTGTTACTTTGCCAATGGGTAATGTTATTTATAACTTACATCTACTCCAAAATCAATTTTAAAAAAACTGGCTAGATAGACATCTTAATAGGTGCTTTTAATAATTAGTCAATATTTTTAGTGCATGAATGACTCATCTTTTCAATTAAATCGTAAGCGAACTTGATTTAATAGCAAAACAATCAAGTCATGATTCTAATTAAGTCTGTTAAGTCACAAGTAAACAGGGGGGAACCTATAGGCTACAGCTTAAGGAGGGTATGCATAGGCTTCACCTCAAAACTTGTTACTAGCCTAGATTGTAGACTATGAATATTAAAACCCTTAAGGCTACAGGTCAAGAGTTCGAATCTTTGCAAGGCTACATCTGAATTTTAATTTTTATGCAGAGTAATACGAACTACATTTTACATGCCATTTAATCACGTTATGGTGGGCTTTTTACTTTTATTTTCTTTATTGAATTGGACCGTAAGGTATTACTTATTAGGAATGCACATGAAGATCTAATACAAATTCTCGCAAGATTATCTATTTCTTCTTTCAAAAAAACTGCAGTGTATCATCTCAACTCTCTTACTTCCACAAGTTCCGGCGATTCACTTTCTGGGATCCACTTCAGTTTTATTTTTTACTTCTCTAATATTAAAGCCTTATTAGTTTATAATTATTGTGATTATTGTTCAAACTAATATTAATAGTAACAACCAATCTGAGTGAGAAGAAGTAGTGGAATAGTTGAATAGAGCTGCGATTAACTCAATTACTCAAAATTTTATATATTTATCTAATCCTAAATTATTAAAGCCTTATTCGTATTATTAATAGTGTACGGACTACGGAGTATTCTTTAATCTCCTGTATTTCAATTACTTTACATTTAAACAAGTAGCGTAGACTGTAATTTTACTTTTCTAAGTTCTTATTAGCTGGATAGATTTGTATTACGTATATAAGTTTCACATGGAAAACCCTCAAATATAATATTGTGAAATGTGCTAATTTACATGAGCTAATTTTATACTGTATTTTATATTTGTAACTAAGGGGTCCGGGAAATAACAAAAGTTAATTTTGAATATATAGTTTATTTTTTCAGTTTTGAGCTAATATAAAAGGTATTTTTCTTTTACTACACTTATATATATTTTTTATTTAACATTTTTTGTTCACATGTAGTGTACTATTAGGGTTATATATGTTCATACACTGAGCTCTGATGTCTAGGTCTGCCACAGCAAGTAAACAAGTCCTGCTCGGTTGATAATAAATTTTGAAGTGTGATGATGAAAACATAACGAAGAGAACATACATAAGTACATAACTAGGGGTGGACTCGGGCCGGGTGGCCCGACCCGGAACCGGCCCGACACCAATACTGTTCCGGCCGGGCCCGATCCGGTGGCCTGATCAGTGACCAGTCCGGGTAGGCCCGACCCGTGGGTTTTCCGGTCCAAGCTCGGGTCACCAAAAACAAGGCCCAGGCCCGGTTCGGGCCAAAATTGATTTTTTCCAATTTTTTTTAAATTTTCGGGTTGGGTTGGGTAGTTTGGGCCATTTGAGGTGGTTTGGGGGGTTGGGGTGGGAGGGGGGTTAATTAGGAAGAGGGAAAAAATTGATAATAGGCCCGGAGCGGACCCGGTGCGTACCCAGGCCGGTCCCGGGCCCATCTGTTCAGAACCGGCGGCCCGGCCCGGCCCAACCCGGCCCGAGTCCAAGTCTATACGTAACTGATAACCTCCACATGTGGAGATGAAAAGAGTGATTTCCAAACGATGGTTTTTATGACTGATGATGGGTACACAATTTTTTACGGTATAAATTTTCATAATATTTTCAAATTTTCAAATGAAGGGTAAACTTATTATGATTTTCAAATTTTACCCAATGATTCAAACACAGCTTCTATGTATCATGTATCATGTACGTAGGGAAAAAGTCACAAACACGTGACACATGATAGATTTAGTGAAATAAACAAGTAAATTCTAAAAACATTACATGATTAAGTCATTATTTAATGTTCCGTAAAATTATATTATCAGTTAAAATTGTACATCGGTCAAATATGACTTCTCTAAACCTGAGGCAAAAAACCAAGACAATCGGAAGAATTCAAGACAGCTGACATATAAAAAGCAATTTAAATTACAATTACTTCATGCGAGGATGACTGCTAACGTTATAGCTTCTGAGGATGCATCTTGAAACTGTCACTGTTAGATTAGAGCTGATGATGTTTCTTCTGGTTTTATCCAAACAGTTCCGAATCCAGCTGTTGAATATTTGGGAAAACTTGTCTCAATGTAGTCACGTAGTTGGGAGAATTTGCCTGCAGAATAATATATATATACATATATATACTATCACATGTTGCACAAATCACTTGAGAGATCAATATAAATATATTGAAAAAGTGAATCATGCTATAAAAGATATGCTTCTATGGCTAAATATTCTGATTTCTAAGTCTGACACGCTAGAATAACATAACGTGCTAAAAGATGAAAAGCTAACAAATTAAGTGCAGCATGAAGGACATGTTTGGGTCCTGATATACTGGGGAGGAGAGAAAATGCCAAGTCATTTTGTTATGTTTGGGTTTACCAGTCAACCCATGCAAAAGAAAAACGAAATATGATAAATGTTTTTACTTTTTTTTATCTGTTGGATTGCTTAGTATTTATATTATAACAATAAATACATGAGAATGCCTTTCCACAAATCATTACAACAACATCCAAGCCTTAATCCAAAAAGAATTTAGGGTCAGCTAACATGAATCGATCAATGATATCGATGCCAAACAGAGAAGATAGACAAGAAAGGGAAGAAAAAAAAGTAAGATAAAACAAATAAAATAAAGATAAATAAATATAAGATAACAATAACACAAGAATATAAGAAAGATAAAAGATAAAAAAAAGCATAAAAAGCTAGAATATAAACATAACATAAGAATATACAAAGATAGAGAAGATAAACAATAAAAGAAAAAAGAGAGGAAAGGTAGAAAAGACATCAATCGTCCACACGGATGTGCGCCCTCCACTTTGCTCTCTCCAAAGCCATACTCTCATCCAACCCAAGAAGACGCATATCCGTTCTGATTCCTCTAATCCAAGTATGTTTGGGTCTTCCCCTCCCCTCTCTTCTCTGCCTCTTCTCCCCACCCCTCAAGTCGTCTAACAGGTGCATCACTCGGTCTTCAACGCACATATCCAAACCACCGCAAACGAGACTCCTGCATCTTATCTTTTATAGGTGCTACTCCCCCCTTTTGTCTGATTATCTCATTCCTCAAACGGTCTTTTCTGGTATGTCCACACATCCAACACAACATACGCATCTCTGCCACACTCATCTTTTGAATGTGGCATTGCTTCACCGCCCAACACTCCATGCCATACATTAATGCAGGCCTAATTGTTGTTCTATAAAATTTACCCTTCAGTTTAATCGGCATACCTTGATCGCATAGAAATCCTGAAGCACTCTTCCATTTCATCCACCCAGCTCTGATTCTATGGCATACATCTCCATTTAATTCACCATCCTTCTGAATTATGGAACCCCAGTAACGGAACATATCACACACCGGTATCTCCTTACCATCAAGAGTAATCCCACTGTTGCTACTACTTCTACCTTCACCAAACTTGAACTCCATATACTCAATCTTGCTTTGGCTCAGTCTGAAACCCTTGGTCTCCAATGTTTATCGGCATAGTTCCAAATTTGCTTTTACACCGGATTGTGTCTCATCAATCAATACAATATTGTCGGCAAACATCATGCACCACGGTATATCTTCTTGAATTGACTTCGTAATTTCATCCATGACTATAGCAAATAAGAAAGGACTCAGAGCAGATCCTTGGTTCACTCCGATAGTAATAGGGAACTCTGTGGTCCTCCCTACACTAGTGCGGACACTTTTAGTACAAGCATCATACATATCCATGATGATACTGATATACTTACGTGATATGCCTTTTCTAGTTAAGGCCCACCATAGGACTTCTCGAGGTACCCTATCATATGCCTTTTCTAAGTCGAACACCAAATACAGATCCTTTCCAATGTCTCTATACTTCTCCATAACTTGTCTAAGAAGGTGAATGGCCTCAGTTGTTGAGCGTCCAGACATAAAACCAAATTGATTCTCTGGAATTTTCACACTTTTACGAAGTCTTTGCTCAACCACTCACTCCCAAAGTTTCATGGCGTGACTCATAAGCTTAATCCCTCGATAGTTAACACATTCTTCTATATCACCCTTATTTTTAAATGAGGGAATAAGAATACTCTTCCGCCAACTCACTGGCATTTTGTTGTTTCTCCAAATCATGTTGAAGAAATGTGTTAGCCATTCGATGCCTTTCTCTCCCAAACTTCTCCGAGCCTCGATCGGTATGCCATCTGGGCAATACTTTCTTCCTCCCCATTTTTTTCACAGGCTCTTTAACTTTTGTTGTTTGAATCCTTTTCACGAAGTCTCGATTTACCATACACTTTGGTATAGTAAGATCATCACTACCTTGCACTTTATTCCCGTTGAACAAGGTATCAAAGTATGACCTCCACCTCTCTTTAATTTCTTTGTCCTCCATTAGTACCCTTTGATCGACATCCTTCACACACTTAACTTTTCTGATATCCTGAGTCCTACGATCACGAAGGCGAGCAAGTCTGTACATATCCTTTTCTCCTTCTTTAGAGTCCAACTTTACATATAATTCCTTGTTCATTTTTCCTCTGGCTTCCTTCACATGTTTCTTTGCTCTTCTTTAAGCCTCCTTGTGCTCCTCTATGTTTTCGTCGCTCCAACTTTTGCCCAATTTCATATAGCATTCCCTTTTGGTCCTTATTGCTTGTTTCACCTCATCATTCCACCAAGACGTGTCCTTTTTTGGTGGCAGACATCCTTTAGATTCTCCGAGTATCTCCTTTGTCACTTTGTTAATGGTGGACTCCATTGATAACCACACATCATCCACATGTGCGTCATCGTCTAACACTTTGTGTGCAAAACTTTGTTGGAGATTCCCCTCGAGCCTCACTATTATATCTTTGGCTCCCCTTGTACCTTAACTCGTCTCCTCTTTTTACCTTGAAAATCAAACACATGCATCCTATGCTGAGTGACTACACTCTCACCTGGGATAACCTTACAATCAATGTAGCTAGTTCTCCAAGTCGTCCGTACTAACAAGTAGTCAATTTGGGTACTATTAGCTCCACTTCTATAGGTGACAAGGTGAGAGTCTCTTTTCTTGAACCAAGTGTTCATCGCAACCAACTCATATGTCGAGGCAAAATCCAAAATGTTCTTCCCCGCTTCATTTCTAGTGCCAAAGCCATGTCCGCCAGCCATGGATACTCTCAAAACCATCACGACTTGGGCCCACATCCCCGTTGAGGTCGCCTCCTATGACCAGCTTCTCTCCCCTTAGCACTCGTCGCACCACTTCCTCAAGATCCTCCCAAAATTGTTGAGTGATAGATGCATCCAATCCCACTTGTGGTGCATTAGCACTTACCACGGACACGATCTCATCTCCTATTATAAACTTAATGCTCATTATGCGATCGTTCTTCCTAAAGACTTCAACCACACCCTCAACATAATCATGTACCACCATAATGCCTACTCCATTTCTGTTCCTCTCTCCCCGAGTACCACAACTTAAAACCTTCGGGATTAATCTCACGTGCCTTTTCTCCAACCCACTTAGTTTCTTGCATGCACATTATGTTGATATTCCTCCTCTCTTTTTTCAAGGAAAATGTATTTTATTGATAAAAGTAAACGACAATACAATGCAAGAAAGGAAATAGAAAGAAGACAATACAATCAAATTAAAATAAAAGAAAAGAAAAAGAAGCAAGCCAAACCCAAGGGAAATCTCTGGACTATGACATAGTCCTCATGCTGTGGCGCCTTTTATTCTTCTGAGATTTCCTATAAAGTTTGAGTTGCGTGTTTAAATTGTCCATTGGCAGACAATTTTCCGGAGTAACTAGCACAGATTTACGGCAAATTGCTCTATTGAATTTGAAGTTCCTTATTTCTTCCTGATGAGATATAGGAGGAGGACGATCGCTTTCGGTTGCATGACCTAAAAAGTCGTCTGAGAAGAAAGATTCCTCACTATGATAAAAGGTGTCAGAAGCGTCCGAGTAGGCTTGGATCGGTGGAAGGTCGAGTTGTATCACTGGACTGTATACTTTTTTATTCCCGGTACTCGATGCCTTGACTTGACAATTAAGAATCAATTTAGAGATGGATATATCATCGGTCTCTAAAGTGCTCCTGTGTTGAAGAAAGATCAAGTCATCATTTTCATTTACCCCAGTGCCGCAAAGGCTCCCACCTACGGTGGGTTAAGGGGGGGTCGGATGTACGCAGTCTTACCCCTGTACTAAAGCACAGAGAGACTGTTTCCGGATGACCCATAGTGAAAATCGTGTCCAAGATTGCATGGACTGACAGTTGCTCCATAACAAAGAAGCGCAGACAGTTTAGTGAGCCATTTTGCTTTATTCCATCATAATCTCAAGCCAAAAAATAATGAATCTTTGGCTCCATTGCAAATGATGGAAATGAAGAAAGATCAAGTCCTCCTGCAAAAACCTATGTAGCCCTACAAAATTAGAAAAAATTGTGAGGAATTTAATCAAACCAGATTTATTTTTGTCCATGGGAATATGAACGGAGATCCCCTTGTCTTTGGCAATTTTAACGTAATAGCATGATCTGGTAATATCCAAAGAAACCTTGATATCTCCAAATCGCCTTATCTGTGTGAAGTTTGACTGATTAGAGTTTTTTAGCTGGGAGATGAACCGGATGATTTGAGGAGCAAGATCAACCTTGAAACAAATCTTGTGCAAGACAGATTTTTTTATTTCGAAAAGAACTACGTTACTGTTTCTTAGTGCAAATTTGAACAATTTTGATTCAATCTTGACTGAGTCAAACCCTTCCTCTCCAAAGAAAGAGAATTTTTCACTGTCTGGCCGGTGGTTAAATCTGTCTCCATCTGTATTCCCCCAGGAGGTGAATTCGAATAATCACCCTTAAGATTGTTTGTACTGTTCTCACCAGGCAGGATCTTCGAGCATGTGGCTGAAATTGCAGCCAGGTCCTTGTTGCCCAGAGGAGTGCCAGAGGATATTTTGTTTTTGTCCACGCACTGGAGGTCAGCCCATGTGCGGCCATACCGAAATTGTCCGTCGGGCGCGTCAGTAACCGTAGCGTTCTTCTCAGCCAGTTTCTCGGCCAAAATTTCCAGCATTGGGTCTCCTGTGCAGAGCATCTTAAAATTGCACTGTTGGTCATCCCTACCCGTCGCTTTTCCTTCATTTTTGTATCGGCGATAGCTATCTGCCCTGAGGTTAGTGAAATAGGGATCTCGCCGTTGTTGATTAAATTCTTGTGAGTGTAGAGAGACAGATGAAAGGTTTTCCTCCAAATCTAAAGGATGTGATGGTGACTAGGGCGACGACGCTTAGGGTGGACTGTGCACCAGGATTCCTCTGGGTCCTCTGCGAAGGTTAAGGTTGGTTGTTCGTGAGGAAGGCGCCGGCTTGCTGTGGAGATCGGATTCCCAAACTGACGGCCCGTCGGTATAAATTCCTGGAGAAATACCTGATTGGTATAGGGCGACGTCGAGTACTTCCTGGGGCGCAGTCGTGTTCCAGACACTTCTGCTCCAACGTTCAGTGTTCTGCTCCTGCGTTTTGGACGCGAGTAACGTTGTTGTGAATGCGAGTGAGGTAGTGGTTGCGAGTTCCAGGTGTTGAATCCGGTCGCTAATCTTGGGATCCCTGTGCCACACGCTTCAGTCCTGGTTCTCCTGTTCTCGTTGAATTTGAAATCAGAATGGAACCAGATTCTTGGGTCTTCGCTTTCTTGGCAACAAGCATTGAAGCGGTGATGATTGCAATAGGTGAAAAAATGTGTGTCGTTGTTGGGATGGTGGGGATTCCGGCGAATTTGCCGGATATCTAATCCCATATTAGAGGTGCGCAAGAAAGCTAGAGAGAAGCAGGAGATTCTCTCTCATGTTTTTTTTTGTGCTGATATTCCTCCTCTTCATAACCTCAGCTATCTCACATGATCTTCCCGTAAGAGAGCCAACATTCCATGTCCCAAAACGCAATCTAACACCCTGCCTTCTCTTCTTCACACCACATCGACCCCCACCATGCCCTAGCATATTTGACACCATCCTCGGGCATTGGAGTGGCACGTCGCTTCCGGGCGACGACCTAACAGCCTTAGCATTCTTATCACCACACCCAGGCCTTTCAACAAATCATTAAAATAAATTTATTGAAACTGAAAGAATGTATTAGCTTCCTCAACATTTTCCTCTCAAATTTCTTTTCCTAGCATTTTTTGCACTCCAAACCGACCGTAACTGGCCTGTCCATCTGCAAAGCACTAAAAGGGGCAGTATTACTGAAATCTGAATCTAAATAATGCTAGTTTGTGGAAGCCTGCGAAAGCTTTTAGCCTAGGGTTTCTTGTAGAGGTTTGAAGGATCTTCTCAAAAATCAAATTGCAGAAGCTTGTCTCTTGGGTTTGTGAGGGCTAGGTTCCTCTATGCGTTATAAAGTTTGCACTGACTCAGAACATTAGTGGCAGCTATCTTCCCTTCCTAGGATCTGTAGCGGAAAACTAATTTGATATTAAACATTGGTCTAGGGTCTTCCATTGGTTGAACTGAATCGCTTGGTTGGTTCATATCAATAATGCAGTTTAAACTAGGAAGAGTAGAAACAGTAATTATATCATACATCCGGATGTAATTCTACATCCGCATATTTTTGTAATTTTCGTTTAACATTTGCTTATTTCATAAATAGAGAATGCTCATCCCATCATAATTATACCCCGTAACTGTTTTCCCACTTATTTTTCATTCGATACAATATTCATTTGAATATAAAAGATGCCCATTTTGCATTTAAAAAAATAATCATTTTGTATGAGAAAAATCCTCATTTCATCATTTGAATGTATCATGTGCATATTGTATTCAAATGTATAATATATGAATTGAGTAGAAACCGCTGATAAGTAATACACATATACATACACATGGGTTGCGCTCAAGATAGAGTGTCGTCAGCTTCTGTCGTGAACCACTAACTGCATCAGCTATGCCTTCAAGAGATGATATGTTGTTGTCGTTCAGCCAGAGATCTTCTAAGCTGAAGTGAAAACGAATACAAAAAGTATTAAATGAAATGATATAAACATAACTAATGTGTACACATAGAGCACTGGGGAGTAAACAGTCATCATACCAAGTCAGGTTTTCAATGCCAGTAATTGCAGTAAGCTTGTTTGCTGACACATCCAGGACTCGAAGGTTTACCAAGGTTGATAAGCCTTCCATTTTTTCAATACCATTATGGCTTAGATATAGCTCTTCCAAAGCAACACATTCCTGCAAATTAAGAAAACGGCTTTAAAAGTGTATAAAGATAACGAGAAGATCCTCCCACCATATTTTACATAACTGCTATTCTGCTAATGGATAAGTGGATAATACCTCCAATCCAGTTGTTGCCGTCAAGCGGTTACTCTGGATGCTAATCTTCTTAATGCATTTCAAGCCACAAAGATTGATAGCTCTAATACGGTTGCGGCCAAGCCATAGCTCTTGTAGATTTATTAAAGTTTGCAGATTCTCCATAACCTAACCAACCAAAACGAGTGCTTAAAGTTTTTTGCCTTTTTTTCCAGAGTAAAACATCCTGTACACAAAAACAATGCATATACATCTCCATGCACGGATCGAAGTAACAGTTTACGGTCATTGACATGATTCATTCTAAAATAATAACAAGGTGTGAGAAACAAACCCGTAATCTGTTTGACCCAAGTTCAAGAATACTCAGCTCTTGAAAGTGTTCAATCTCTTCCATCTTTGGAACTTCATTATTAGAGACATAGAGTTCCTTCAATGTACTAGCGACCTTGGACAATCCACTTAGTGATAGGATTCCGTTGTATGAAACGTCAAATACCATAAGTTTCTTAAATATGCTAACATCTGGAAGTTTCTTAAGCTGATTATCCCTGATTACGAGTTCCTGAAAAAAAACGATTCAACTACATACTTAAGTTCAATACATGAGGCCAAAACACAATGAAATTCAAGTTAATGAATGACAATCCGTGGTTCCATACAGTGTTTATCAATGGCGGATTATGGAAAATTGCCAAAATAGGGCCATTCTTCACAAATTGCAGATTTCCACCACCATCTGTGATGGCCCCCATTTGACAACACTGGTTACTTTAAAAAGAGTTGTGTGCCATCTAATTAAAACTACAAAAGTCAATGGGAATGATATTTGTGACTGGCAGTCTGGCACAGTTCATTTGGATTCCAAGATCAAACATACCTAATTCACTCATGTTAGTGCAAGATTAGAAGAAATAGGCGAGTTGCAGGGTTGAAGCTATGTATATGATTAGGGGAGGGGGGGGGGGGGGGGGGGGGGCTTGCCGGCTTGGGCCCTCCCAACATTTTTTTAATTATTGTCTTGTAAAAAATTGTGCCCCCCTAATATTAATTTCCCTCTAGCAGTATACTAGTGCAAAATATTATGATGGTACTACTAAGTTTTCAATACCACATTAAAATATTATTATATCTATTATAACACTCTATTTTGGAGGTGGAGTTATCCCATCACAAATTGGGATGTGAATAAACTTGAAGTGAAGCAATACATTCCCATTTCGGCCCCCTTACCCTCACATCCTGCCTCCGCCCCTGGCGAGTAGTGAAGGGTCATAGTAACATACTGTGGTACTGCCCATTCTTCATTACTTTAAGAGCTGGTTTATTTTGGATGACGAGATTGGATTGACTAATTTGTCAAGATAATTCATTGTGTTCATTTTACAAATAAATTAGCGTTAATTCAAAACCCGTGATAAACAACTTCTGAGATTATTAATGTCATGATCATAGTTGTCAATGGCGCAATATGGCGCAAGCCATATGCGCCACATGGCCAAATGGTGCACGCCCAAGGTAGTCTATGTCGCGACACGCTTCAAAACTCATGTCAAGCGCAGTGTTTATAAAATATTATGTATTGAATTATGGAATTACCGAACATGATATATTCAAAAGATAGGAGTAAAAATGTTTGTGAATCCCAAAATAGAACTGTCATGTTTTCATTTCCCAAATAGGAGTAATTACTGTTAAAACTGTTTTAGTATTGCCAGACTTTAAACAGAACAGTATTTGTCAAGCTTGACAGTAATTACTTCCATTTAGGGAATAAAACATGGCATTCCTATTTTGAAATTCCAAAATGTTTGTACTCCTATTTCAAGAATTTTCCCTATATTCAACATCACATTGAAATAAATGCATTAAAAATTCAATATTCACAAAAACAAAACACCAATTCAGAAGACATAACTTATCTTAAATAATAAAACCAAAATTGGCATTTAGTTAGAATCAAAAGAGGAGTCCATATCCTATTAGCACTTCAATTCAATATTCCTAGGATCACTTGAAGTTTCACTGTACATATACTATAATACCATTGTTATTCAAAATTTAAAATATAAAACGTGATATAAAAAGAAACAAACAAAAATTGAAGAAGAAACTTGTTAGGAGAAAAAAAATAAATAGGAGAAGGAAATGACAGAAAAAGGTAAGGAGATAGAGTTTTAAATGATACGATATAAATAAAGAAGATTTAGATTTTACATTCAAAAGGAAAGATAATATACGAAATAAGAAACAAAAAACGAAGAAAATGAAAAAAAAAAGAAACAAAAATAGGAGGAGGAGGTTACCTTCTTCATGTTGTGTGGGCACGAGAAAGAAGAATAACAACAAAACAACAACAACATCCAAGCCTTAGTCCCAAAAGATATTGGGGTCGGCTAACATGAATCGATAAATGATATCACCACCAAAAGGAAAAGAAAGAAAATAAAGATAAAAAAGATAAGCTATTATAAAAAGATAATATAAAAAGAGATGAATATACATAAAAATGATGAAATCAAAAGGATACAAATAATGCTTATAAATATATAAGGATAAAAAATAAGGAAAAAAAGATGAGGGGGAAAAGATGATATGAGATCACTCCTCCACACGAATACCAGCCCTCCACTTAGCTCTCTCCAAAGTCATGCCCTCATCCAACCCCAGAAGAAGCATATCACTTCGAAGTTTGAACTCCCCTATCCCACGTCTGTTTGGGTCTTCCTCTCCCTCTCTTCCCTGCCTCTTCTCCACACATCTCAACTCGTCTGACAGGTGCATCACTCGGTCTTCTACGCACATGACCAAACCACCGTAAGCGCGACTCCCGCATCTTGTCTTCAATAGGTGCTACTCCCACCCTTTGTTTGATTGTCTCATTCCTCACGCGGTCCTTCCTAGTATGCCCACACATCCAACGCAACACGCGCATATCTGCCACACTCATCTTTTGTAAGTGACATTATTTCACTGCCCAACACTCTACGCCATACAGTAATGCAGGCCTAATTGGAAATCCTGACGCACTCTTCCACTTCATCCACCCTGATCTGATTATATGGGATACATCTCCATCTAACTCACCGTCCTTCTGAATTATGGAGCCCAAGTAACGGAACATATCGCTGACGGGTATCTCCTTACCATCCAGAGTAATTCCGCTATTACCACTGCTTCTACCTCCACCAAACTTGCACTCCATTTACTCTGTCTTGCTCCAACTTAGTTTGAAACTCTTATTCTCCCATGTTTGTCGCCATACTTCCAACTTTTTTAAGACCTGATTGTGTCTCATCAATTAATACAATATCGTCGGCAAACATCATGCACCACGGTATATCGTCTTGAATTGACTTCGTAAGTTCATCCATGACTATGGCAAATAAGAAAGGGCTCAGAGCCGATCCTTGGTGCACTCCGATAGTAATAGGGAACTCTTCAATCCTCCCTACACTAGTACGGACACTTGTAGTACAATCCTCATACATATACATGATGATGCCGATATACTTGTGTGATATGCCTTTCCTAGTTAAGGCCCACCAAAGAACTTCTCGAGGTACCTTATCATATGCCTTTTCTAAGTCAATGAACACCAAATGCAGATCCTTATGAGCGTCTCTATACTTCTCCAAGAAGAAGGGGAATGGCCTCGGTTGTTGAGCGACCGGGCATAAAACCGAATTGATTCTTTGAAATCTTCACAGTTCTTCGAGTCTTTGCTCAATCACACGCTCCCAAAGTTTCATGGTGGGGCTCATAAGCTTAATCCCTCGATAGTTTGCACATTCTTGTACATCACCTTTATTCTTAAATAAGGGGATAAGAGTACTCTTCCTCCAACTCGTTGGCATCTTGTTGTTTCTCCAAATCATGTTGAAGAAACTCGTTAACCACACGACGCCTTTCTCTCACAAACTTCTCCAAGCCTCGATCGGTATGCCATCTGGACCCACTGCTTTCTTCGTCTCATCTTCCTCAGAGCTTCTTTAACTTCCGTTGTTTGGATCCTTCTCACAAAATCACGATTTACCATACAATCTGGTATGGACAAATCACCAGTATCTTGCGTTTTGTTCTCGTTAAATAGTGTATCAAAGTATGCCCTCCACCTCTCTTTTATCTCTCCATCTTCCATTAATATCCTTTGATTGATATCCTTCACACACTTAACTTTTGCAATATCTTGAGTCATGCGATCATGAAGATGAGCAAGTCTATAAATATATAGTTCTCCTTCCTTAGAGTCCAACTTTTCATACAACTCCTTGTTCACTTTCCCTCGTGCTTCCCTTACGACTTTCTTTGCTTGTCTTTTAGCCTCCTTGTATGCTTCTATGTTCTCATCACTCCAACTTGTCCCCAACTTTTTGTAGCAATCTCTTTGGTTCTTTATGACTTGTTTCACCTCATCATTCCACCATGACGTATCCTTTTTAGGTGGCAGACATCCTTTAGATTCTCCAAGTACCTCCTTTGCCACTTTGTTAATGGTCAACTCCATTGATAACCACACATAATCCACATGTGTTTCATTATCAATACGCCATACATCTTCACCGACCATTTTGTGTGTAAAGCTTTGTTGAAGATCTCCCTCAAGCCTCCACCACTTTATCTTTGGCTCCACTTGTTGTTTAACTTGTCTTCTATGGTTCTTACCTCGAAAGTCAAGCACAAGCATCCTATGCTGAGTGACAACACTCTCACCTGGAATAACCTTACAATCAGTGTAGCTAGTTCTCCAAGTGGTCCGTACTAAGAAGTAGTCAATTTGGGTACTATTAGCTCCACTTTTATAGGTTACAAGGTGAGAGTCTCTTTTCTTAAACCAAATGTTCATTATAGCCAACTCATACGTCAAGGCAAAATCCAAAATGTTCTTTCCCACCTCATTCCTAGTGCCAAAACCATGTCCGCCATGAATACTCTACAAACCATCACGACTCGAGCCCACATGCCCATTGAGGTCATCTCCTATGATCAACTTCTCTCCCCTTGGCACTCGTTGCACAACGTCTTCAAGATCTTCCCAGAACTGTTGAGTTATAGATGCATCCAATCCCACTTGTGGTGCATAGGCACTTCCCACAGACACAATCTCACCCATTATCACCAATTTAATGCTCATGATGCGATCGTTCTTCCTGAAGACTTCTACCACATCCTCAACATAGTCACGCGCCACAATAATGCCTACCCCATTTCTGGTCTTCTCTTACCCCATTTCTGGTCTTCTCTCTCCCAGAATACCACAACTTAAAACCTCCTGGATTAATCTCGTGTGCTTTCTCTCTGACCCTATTAGTTTCTTGCACACACATAATGTTGATATTCCTTCTCCTCGTAGCCTCAACTACCTCAGAAGATCGGCCTGTAAGAGACCCAACATTCCATGTCCCAAAACGCAGTCTAGCACTCCACCTTCTGTTCTTAGCCCCATCTCGGACCCCACCATGCCCTTGCATATTTGACATCATCCCCGGGCAATGGGATGACGCGCCGCTTCCGGGCGGCGACCTAGCAACCTTATCATTCTTATCACCACACCCAGGTCTATGAAATGTAGTGCGCCCTTGCATATTTGACACCACCCCAAGGCGGAGGGATGACGCGTCACTTACGGGTGACGACCTAGCATTAGCGATATTCATATTTCGATTAATGTCATGTGATGTGACTAGGTGATACTGTTGGCCGTCACACGCCTATCACAGCACCCTCCTCCTTTATCCTGGCTTGGGACAGACATGATACCAAAAAAATGATATCATGGCGGGGTTGGCACGAGAAAGAAGAATGCAACAATAATATCTTTTTAAGTTTCTGTAGACTCCTTAATAAACCGATTGAGAAGTGTTTTAACATGGTTCAAACTTTAAATTGGTTTGCCCTATTAGTTGGACGGGCTATATCTTATTATTAATATGAGATTATGAGTATTTATAATAGACCCAAATCTTATTTCAAAAAAATAAATATGCTGATAACCCTTTACCGGTCAACACGAATCAGGTGAGCACTTCTGCGCCTCTGCGCTTATATTGTGCACGACTCAGAAAGCCTAGCCTGGAAAATTAATAGGCACTGCACCTCTATAGCCTGGGTGTACTTGCCCAGGCGCGCGCTATCGATTGCACTACGCACGCCCATGGTTTTGAAAGGCGTTTCGCCTTTACGCACCAGAGGCGCAAAGGCTACCTGTTATAGCGTCGAAGGCTTAAGCCTTAATCTCCCGGAACAAGGCTTACGCCTTTTTTTGAAGAAGCGATGAATCAGGCCTAAGACGCAGTGCGTTTTAGAGGCGTACGCATCTTATTTGAGGCAACTTTGGGCTTTTCTTTTAATTAGTGGGGCCTGAATTTATTGTTTCATCATAAAATACATATTACCTGGATCGTATATCACCTAGCCACAGCCCTAGGTCCTCTCTGTCTTCCAAATTGCAATTTCCGGTCAGGAAACAAGAAACTCTTCTACGATAGCGACAAACAAGAAACGGCAACGTGAAGAAGAGCTGCTCAGGAGTCAGGACTTCAGCGGCTCAGCCTGCTTTGCCGGCTCAACCTCCTTTACTCCCACACAGAGAATTCAGGAGCCTCCCTGTAGCTCTGCTTTGCCGGTTCATCCAGGTATTATAGAATACCCCCACCGCCCAACTTGACAACTTCTATAATATCTTATTGTGTATTTGTCTTCATGATTAAATAGTTAATTTAAATAGTTACGTAGTTAAAAGTTGACTGTTTATTGTGTATATGTATTCGAGCCTCCCTGCAGCTCTGTTTTGAATTATTAAATAGTTAATTTAAATAGTTATGTAGTTAAAAGTTGACTGTTAATTTTGGGGCTTACGCCTCGTTACGCCTCGAGGCTTACACCTCGGAAGGCTACCCCTGAACGCCTCGAGGCCCGATTTCGCCTTTCAAAACCTTGCGCACGCCACGCCATGTGCGCCATATTTTAACAGATTTTAACAGGTCTAGTTAGTTACTTTCGGGCTTTGTCCCTTATAGTTATTTAGCTAACTGGTCAGCCCATAATATTAATAAAAAAACCTAATAAGAAGTAAATAAAGACACCAGCTAACATAAAGCTAGAAAAACTGCTTAACTAACTAAAGATGGAGTCGGAAAGCTGCACAAGATGAGAATGACTTAAGGGCAACGAAAACACATCAGCTGCAAGATGAAGATGAGACGGATGAGATTGGAGATCCTTCCTTCTTACTTCTGAGGGTGAAATGAATGAGGATGGTGTTCCATCTTTTTAGGTTCAGATCTAGATAATGATGACGAGTGTGATAATTGATGATGATTATATCATAATCATCAAACAAAAACAAGTAACATACTTTGGAAGACATGAAACTTTTTTTGGATATGAAGTAATTTTTTGGAACTACTTTAAACTATTTTAACTTCAAGTGTTTTGGTTAGAATATGAGTATTCAACTTTCTTGCTCATCTTTTGGTGGTTGAGTCATTGATTTACAGCGTCTAACTGTCTATAGTTTATATTTTAAGTATTTATTTTTGTGTCTTGGGGCGACGCCATAAATACACAATAGCCATCACCATGAACAAATGCCTTGGCGCCATGACTGTCACCATACACCATGAGTCCATGACAAATATGATCATGATAAAGTCATTCACCATTATACAATGTCACCATTATACAATGTCAATTGTTTGGTAAACAATATAAATATGAAATTCAAATAGCTGCATACTTAAAACTTTGATGTCATTGAATCTTCAAAAAAAATGTTCATGATAAAGACACTACATTTTCCCAAACAATATCATTTACGACACTGAAACATTGATTGAATAAATTGGACGTGTGGAAAGAAACTCTTTTCAAGTAATAGAAGAGACGGTGAAAGAAGAACCAAAGAGTTAGGCAGAAGAGCCTTGATATATAGATGAGACACACACACATGCACACGCATATATAAATGAAAATTAGGAAAGAGGTTAAGAGAGGAGCAGTGCTTTGACAAGAAAACTATGTAATACATCTCTTAAATACTAAAATGACCTATGACATATCAAAGGCCCCAAAAACGTTAGTAGTTAAGAGAGAATAATATCCAAGTAAAAACACAGTTTATCCTAGTCATGCTTAATGTTAACCTTGTTTAGATTTTGTCAATATAATGATAAACACTATGTGTGCATTATGTGACTATACCAATGCTTTAAAAAAGATAAGTAAATACAATCTGAACTTGCATACACATGGACGAATAAATGCACATCTATGTCATTATAGCTGCGTTTTATATACTTTTATAGTTAAAAAGTACTACCTCTATCCTATGTCCCGGCTTATGCTTCTCGTTGAAAAATGGCACGGTTATTTACACTATAATTAGATAAGGTTACTCGAGTATATTCTGAAAAGTGATAACTATGATACTATGGGTGTTTTACTTTTAATATTTGATGATTAAGTTCTCATTTAAGGGTGCTATTTTTCCCAAGCTCAGATGGGGGGAGTAAATATTAAGCATGTGCAGCTATGGAGATTAAGAAACAAGACTAAATTTGTAAGAACTTCTACTAGAGACTAAGTGCCCATTTGGGATGACTCATAAAAAGCACTTTTTGAAGTCAACATTTTTAAAAAGCATTAACTTGATGTTCCTTTATTGAGGAAAGTCTTTCTAACCCTACATTTCATTTCATTTTCATTTACCCCAGTGCCGCAAAGGCTCCCACCTACGGTGGGGTAAGGGGGTCGGATGTACGCAGTCTTACCCCTGTACTAAAGCACAGAGAGACTGTTTCCGGATGACCCATAGTGAAAATCCCGTCCAAAATTGCATGGACTGACGGCTGCTTCATAACAAAGAAGCGCAGACAGTTTAATGAGCCATTTTGCTTTATTCCATCATAATCTCAAGCCAAAAAATAATGAATCTTTGGCTCCATTTCTAACCCTACAAAAGCTTAAATTCAATGAATTCCAAATCAATAAAATCACTTCACTTATATGTAGAATAAAGAAGCAACATATTGCTTTTGAAATGTGGAGAAGTGTTTTTATCACTTTCCCTAAGGCATCACATACAAGAACTAAACATAGTATAGGAGTTAGCAATAAATAGAATTACATAAGCAATTCTTTGATCCAGTTTCTAATCTCAAATCGAAGTTTAAAATTTTTTGTGGTTATTATATGACTACTAAGACTCTGGCCACCAATTATGGCAAAACACCACCAAGGAGATGCGTTCTTTTTCTAACTCTAATGATAAATTATAAAATTTAATACAAAACGTAAAAGAATAGTAAAGAATAAGAGAAAACCGAGGAATTTATGAAGCGCTAGGTTTTGTGTACCTCAAGTTCGGATATGGTTTGCCACGACGAAAGAGGCTCGATGGCTGCGTCTGTAAGGAGATTCTGACGAAAGGACAACTTCTTGAGATTCGATAGCCCGGAAATACGAGTGTCTAACGCTGACAAACGGTTTGCCGTCAAGTCCAGCTCGGCGAGACTCAGGGGGAGCTCAACGGTGTCGAGATCATGGAGCTGGAAGCTGGTGAGATCGAGGATGTTAGGCGAAGACGATGTTCCTCCGTCTTCCGCCGTTGGATCGGCCGGATGGCCGAGAGTGGAGGTTCCTGGGGAATAGTCCATCGGAGTACGAAGGGAGTTTCTGAAACGTTAACGGTGCCACGACATGTGAGAATCGAAAACATATACTACCTCCCTGCCACATAGATTTGAAAATTTTGAGGTTAAAGGGTTTCATTTTATTCATTTAAGTAAGAGTCAATTTTTAATTATATTCTAATATAGAATTTACAACTTTGAAAATATTTTAATGCAATTTCTAAATATATAAATTTTAATTATTAAAAATTGAATTAATTATGGATAACGAGCATTGACTTTTATTATTGATTGATCAAAAATTGTTGACTTTGCAAAACAATTTGGGACGGGGGAGTACTTATTTCTTCTCATCAAGAAAAAAAAGGGTTATGTATTAACGATAAAAATGATCGATTAGCACAAAAGTAATTCCAAATACAATTAATATTAGAGTCCCTTAATATTATACGTAGTAAGAATTCCCTCATCCGTAGAGAGGTAGATTTCTCTATTAACATAGAAACTCATGCTACTAAATCAATAATCTAAACTACAAAAGGTAATAAAACTAATCTGCAAAAAAAACATGTAAATCGGTTTTATCAACCCCCAACAAGGTAATAATAAAAATTCTGATTTGTCCAGCTACCAAACAGAAACAACTAGAATCTTGAGTTTCTCTTGCCCAGCCAGCGAAAAGAGAGTCCAATCGAGCGTTATGATTCTCTCATAGTATGTGATACATCGACCCCGCATGCCCGAGATAGTTACTCCTAGATTCTCTTCAAACCTCTAATATGTCCTCACAAATTAACATGAGTCCTTACTCTGCACTTATCCTCACTTGTGGGTAGTGGACTGGTGGTGGACTCGGGTCGGGCCGCCGGTTTATAATTGATGGGCCCAGGACCGGCCCGAGGTAAGGACGATTCCAGTTCGGGCCGGGCCACCCGCTCGGGTCACGGGTCGGGCCACCCGCCAGTCCGGGTCGGGCCGGGTAAATCTAATTTTTTTACTTATTTATACTTTATAGTTTTATACAAGTATTAAAAACAAACTTCAAGTGCATTTATTTGAAATGAAATAGGAACTACATTTGACAATTGAGGAAAAAAATACAATATGAAATAGATTTTGTAATCAATCGGAATTTTCGGGTCTTTTGGCTTTGTCACGTGACTTAATATGCTTCTTGGTCATCCTGTATCCGCGTGAAACCCCCCAAGCTACACTTTTTCCCGCACCATTTGCAAGTTGCGTACCACATCCCGGTCCTCGGGTCCTTCTGCGTATAAAAATTATAAGCGATAACAGCATATTGACTTTCCATCTTAAAAATGGTAAATATAATAATTCTATAAATACTAGAATAGATGGAGAATGGAGATTGGAGATTTGATATTGGAGAAGATGTGTATGAAAATATTAGAAAATAGGAGTATTTATAGAAATTTTTGTTCTCCTCACCCCCCACCCCACCCCACCCCCGGGACACCCTTGATTCAAGCACCCAACGGCTATATAGCCGTTTGGGGCCTTGAGGCTTGAGCCTTTGATTTCAAAAAAAAAAATGTTTACTTTAGTTTGAAATTTTTGAAATAAATTACATAATGTAAAATTAATTAATTTGAGAAGTACTACATATAAAACAACGAACGTAAATTTATTAGAAATATGAACTACAAGTTTACAAGTTACAATTGAGAATTGAAGGAAAAATTAAAACATGAAATACTAATCAATCGGAATCTCCGGCATAGGTAGAGCCACCCTCGGTTGTTGATTCATCCATAAAGTGTTGGGATGGGGTGATGCCAATTTCTTGAGCTCTACGGGCCGCCTTCAACCAATCGTGGTAGCATATAAGCGTCTCAAGAGATTCTGTGTTCAACCTCGTTCTAGATTGCGTTAGGACATTGCCGACCGAACTAAATTCTTGTTCCACGGCAACTGTTGAAACCGGCATTGATAGCACTTGCTTAGCCATCTTTGCTAAAACCGGGAACATTCTTTCTTTTCCCTTCCACCAGTTTAGAACGTCGAAATCATCATCTTCTTCAAAATCAACATCATATGTTAAATACAAATAAATCTCATTAATTGTGATTTGTTGAGTAGCGGGAGTTGTTTTAGTTTTCTTAATAAGATTGGCAAATGTAGATTTCAAAATTGATTTTCCTTTAGATGAAGATGTTTGTGTCAGGGGAGGGGGCGTGTTGTCATATTGTGCATGAAACTCATTAAATGATGCATAAAATATGTCACTAACCTCGTTGTATTCTTTTTTCGGATCAAATTTTAATTTTTTTTTAAAATTTGACCGTTGTGACCCGGACCCGGGTCGGGTCACGTTTTGCCGGAACCGAGCCCGCCCCCCGCTGCCCCCCAGGTTTGGGTCTACACCCGGTCCCGGACCGCCAGACCGGGCCGGTTCTGAGTCCGCACAGTAGCGGGCCGGGCCGGGTCACGGGCCGGGTGGCCCGAACCGAATCCACCTCTAATGGTGGGGGTCACTCATTCCAAGATTACTCTCATGCAAGCACGTTTAACTGAGAGTTCTTAGCCGATGAGCTTTCTTAAAAGGAGATGCAACTTATTAGTATGAGGAGTACTATTAATCATTTTCCAATTAATCTCAAGTATTACATAGTATGTCTAGGGGTGGATTCGGTTCGGGCCACCCGGCCCGTGAACCGGAACGGCCCGCTACTGTGCGGGCTCGAAACCGGCCTGGTCTGGTGGTCCGGGACCGGATGTAGACCCGAACCGGGGGACAACGGGGGACGGGCTCGGTTCCGGCAAGAGTGACCCGACCCGGCCGGGTCGGGCCCGGGTTCGGGTCACAACGGTCAAATTTAAAAACAAAATTGATCCGAAAAAAGAATACAATGAGGTTAGTGATATATTTTATGCATTATTTAATCAGTTTCATGCACAATATGGCAACGTGCCCCCTCCCCCGACACAAACATCTTCATCTAAAGGAAAATCAATTTTGAAATCTACATTTGCCAATCTTATTAAAAAAAACTAAAACAACTCCCGCTACTCAACAAAGCACAATTAATGAGATTTCTTTGTATTTAACATATGATGTTGATTTTGAAGAAGATGATGATTTTGGCGTTCTAATAAACTGGTGGAAGGGAAAAGAAAGAATGTTCCCAGTTTTAGCAAAGATGGCTAAGCAAGTGATATCAATGCCGGTTTCAACAGTTGCCGTGGAACAAGAATTTAGTTCGGTCGGCAATGTCCTAACGCAATCTAGAATGAGGTTGAGTGCAGAATCTCTTGAGATGCTTATATGCTACCACGATTGGTTGAAGGCGGCCCGTAGAGCTCAAGAATTTGGCATCACCCCATCCCAACACTTTGTGGATGAATCAACAACCGAGGGTGGCTCTACCTATGCCGGAGATTTTGATTGATTAGTATTTTATCTTTTAATTTTTCCTTCAATTCTCAATTGTAACTTGTAAACTTGTAGTTCATATTTCTAATAAATATACGTTCATTTTTTATTATGTAGCACTTCTCAAATTAATTAATTTTACATTATGTAATTTATTCAAAAATTTCAAACTAAAATTGTTGAGGGTAAGTCCCGTAGATCCGAAAGCCCAACACGAACTTTGGATATATCAGGAATGGCCCAGAATCAAAGTGTGTGAGAAAATGTAAAATATGAACTAACTAGAACTCGAAACCCCACTTGTATTAATTAACCAATCTGATTACAAAAGATTTCCCGATCAGTAAGTCGGAAACTATGCTTTAATACAAGAAATAAGAGCAAATGATGCTATTCTAGAGCTTGAGTATCGAAAATCTAACCCTTACAATGACTTGAAACCTTCTATTTATACTAATGGAGAGCATGGGCTGCCTCTTACTGATTGGCCGTTGTTCCACGACTTGGTCATCCTTGCTTCCACTTGCTGATGTCATAGTCTGGCATTAACTGCACCTGGCCACTTGCTGGTTGGCCGTTGCTCGAACGGGATGTTGGTCCATACTGAAGATGCTGTCAAATTGGCCCAAGTATAGTATATAGTCCGAACCTCGTTCGGTATGTCTTCTTATTGGGCCAACCTTTATTTGGGCCGAGCCCCGTTCGGTATGTCTCCTTACTGGATCTTCTCATCATAGAGTGATGGGCCTGTTACTTGGGCCGGATATCTTGGGCCTTCCCGATCTGGGTATTGGGCCTCTAGGTCAATATCCCAACACAAGTCCCCCACTTCCGATGTCTCGAACGAAGTGAGTGCATCAGGAAGTATACCAATGTCATAATACCCCGAATGGCGATCGGGGTACAGATGTGATCAGTTCCCCATGCTGCGATTTGACGGTTGCCGCTTCATTTCCCCATATTCATCATGATAACCGTCGTTTAGTCTTTTCATTAGACGCGTGTCTAGCTTAAATGCCCCTAGTGATGTGTCGCTCTCTGATTGGTTCTCGACACGGCGGTTTCAAGGCTATAAATTAGCCCTTAACTCCTCAATTCCGGGTTTCGATTCTGCAATTCCTTGGCCTTCGTTGTTTCCTCTGCAAGTTTCCCCCTGCTTCCCTTGCTCAGGTAATTTCCCAACCTTGGATTCCCCATCTTCATTTCTGGCTTCGATCGAGATGAGCCCCACAGAGCATTCTTCTGATTCGGAGATGGCCTCTCATGGAGATGACTGTGACACCGCCATTGTAGATGCCATTCCAGTTCCGTTTTCCGGTGTTTCTACTGAGACGGCGACGAATTCCAGGGCTGAGGCGGAGGACCTCCCTAGCACTTCTTCTTCCTCTAGTGAGGATTCTGATGACACCAAATCCGAGGACGAAATAGCCTCCATGGCGGCCGGACGTCCCAACGATGTTCCTCGCCATACTCTTGACCTAAAATTGATTAGGGAGAGGAGGCAAAAATTGACCTCTCACAATAGGGCCGAAATTTCGGCCCTTATCCCTGACCCGGTGGATTTCCGTTTGCAAGCCGGGCTTCACCCAATGCGTCATAGGCCCGGAATGACCATAGTCCACTTTGACTCGATTAGGGCCGGCCTTAGATTTCCGCTACACCCCTTCTTCATTTCTTTCTTCAATTTCTACGAAGTTGTACCGGCCCAGATTATGCCGAACTCTTATCGAG